TTGGCTATACTCAATAAACTATAATAAAATTATTTGTGAGATGTATTTTACTTATTAAAATATGAAATAGCTGTTAGAAAAATACAAAACTTGAACATACAGACCAAAATGTAAAAATGTGAACACCGTGTAATCATTTCATACACTTTCTTGAAGTTCAACAAAGAATAATCCTTATTTTATAGGAATTTGACAAATAAATTACTTGAATGAGTTTTAGTTTTATTTTTAACTTCTATATTTTACTCTTCCCTTCAAGCGGATAATCATATTGTTAACGGGTTTATTTTAAGTTCAGTAATGATGGATCTCTGTGGTACTGTGACCACATATACAGCAGTAAAAATATGCATTCTTCAAACTACTTAATGTAATTTAAAATGAAGTGTGTTTGTTTACTTAGATTTTTCGAGTAATGCTGAGAATAGTCGTTTTTAATTCTGAACTGACAGACTAGAGGGAAGACAGCTAGTAAACAGCACCCACAGCCAACTTGGGATACTCTAATTGAAGAGTGACATTTAACCGTCATTATTATAACGCACTCATGCCTTAAAATGCAGTGCAAAGCGTGATTTTGCAGCAAAAAGATGCGAGCCATGGATCCACAGTCGGATTTTCTAACCACTAAACTTCGCCCAGCCCCTCAGTGTAAAGAACTAACAAAAAGAAAAAAGGGCAGTGGGATGAACTGCAACGTTAATGGTATTTTTATTCAAATGTGTCTTGAATGACTCACATGTGATTAGGGTTTAGAACGTCATACCATGGTTGATATCAGTCCTAAGTTATTTCAGAAGGCACAATTCCGCATTGGTGATAGACACAAATTACTAGTGCAGTTCATTCCCGTATCTTCTCACCCACCACGCAGCCTTTCATCAACACTAAACTTACCGTACTAACAAGATACAACCACCATATAAACTCACTGCTGCGTGGTGGGTGTTTTCATCAACACTAAACTTACCGTACTAACAAGATACAACCACTATATAAATTCACTGCTACGTGGTGGATGTTTTCATCAACACTAGACTCACCGTACTAACAAGACACAACCACCATATAAACTCACTAAACAAGACTAAAACTTTATTATTTTAATGAAGGAATTACACACCTCTAAGGTTTCTGTTGTGGTTATGAACTTATGAAGCGTGAATTTAAACCTTTTAGGGGACATACATTCAGACGTTATTTAACCTTTATCAGTTCCTTTACTTATTGAGGAAGACAAGTGTAAATATTCAGTTACAAGTGATTCAAGTACAATTGTTTCTTTATCATTTTTTGTATGTGTGTGTTTACTACTCTTAAACTTCTAACAATCTAAGCACTGTGCTTAATTTCGAAAGTCCTAACATTCCCGTTGGGCCTGGCAAAACCTGATGGTTAGATCGCTCGACTCGCTATCCGCTGGATCGAAAACTGGCACCAAACGTGCTCGTCCTTTAAGCCGTGGGGGCGTTATAACGGTAAGATCAATCCCACTATTCATTAGTAAAGAATAACTCAATAGTTGGTAAGTCCTGCAGGTCAGTTACCTTTATTATGGTCAGCAGTTCAAATTTAGGGACGGCAGCAGATAGCCATACCGGTTTTGTCATAAAACAATCAAACGCTGCCGCCCGCTTCGGGCAGAGCGTGGATCAGTGATTAATACGCAAAACTTCGGATCTACGGGTCCCACGTTTGCGTCCTATTATAACACACAAACGCACACACAAAACGAAATAAGTAAAAATCACGATCCGCGGTTTGGAGTCGTGGGTGCTTTGTAGGAGTGAAAGTAAAATACCACTATTCGGCGGCCATTTCAGTACCCCGACGACAATTTCTTAAAAATAATAAAAATAACTCAGTTTTAGATAGGCTTAGTGAACTTAATAGTTCATATTCAAGAAAAATTCACGTACATTTCTGTCTTTATTTTCGATAACTAGCGTCTAGAAAGTGAAATTAATCATTTAAAATATTTACATACAGACCTCTCATATGTCTTGTCGAAACAACTCGCACATGAGAATACAAAGAAAGACACGGCGAGATACCAGGCGAATTAGTAGAGTAGTTTTGATCCTCATCTAAACTTAGAACATTAGTTTCCATCTAATTATACTGGCTTATATTTAGAACATCTTGAAACCTTGCGGGCTACTTAGAATTCTTCATAACATGTCTTTTATTTCTTTACATATAAAAATCTGGTTTATACATAAACATCTGGGACCTAGATGGAAATTCGTATTTGTTTTGTTTTTGTAAAGATGAGCTATTTTCTTATAATGAAGCGTTCTATAAATCAGGACTACTCCCCCAGAAAAATAAAATAGAATCTTAAGACTAAGACTGTAAAATGTATTTTTAGGCTACTTAGGTGAAAAAAGCAGCGCATAAACACCAGTAATTCGAATATATATATATATATACATATATATATATGTGTGTGTGTGTGTATTTAAAAGTAATTGAACTGTAGGTGGCCTCCTGAGATTCCCAAATTTCTGTTAGTGTGGGTATGTTATCTCCTTATCGCGTTTTGGGATTAGTGAGGCATTTTATACCTTAGTTAAAATTGAAGACGCTGAACAACATGGTGGATGATTATATTTCGTACTGGAATCTGTAAAAGTTGGACAATTTCATTTGTTAGCATGCAGGGCTAGAGTACTGTATTTATAAACAAGTTACACAACTTCTCGTTTAACAATAGACTTTACGACGTAACTACAGAAAGAAAACATTTTACTTTCACGCCATTTTTCATGAGCTTGGAATATTTCATTATTTGTAATAGAACCTTACAAAAATAGAATAGCTAAGATTTAAGGAAAAATAGTAGTGTTGCTATCTGTTTGTCTATAATGTTTGAGTATCTTTTTTATGGAAATAATTTACTTCTAGACTTGATGTAAGAATCGATTGTACTTATAAGTTAACGTTGAAGTGGAGTTAGGCCTACATTCCCTTTGCTATTGTGTTATTATTTACGCGTTTTGGTAGGTTGAAAGATATATTTTCCTTGGATAAAGACTATACAATTTATAAGGCGGTTACTACTAACAGAAATCCACGTGGTTAATACTTAAATATTCCACAAAATTTGTTTGATTAATATTTTATTATTTTAAACACGATTTGTCAAACTAATAGAATCTTATTTTTGTGTCATGTTGCTTTGCATGTTTTTAAACTATTTTTATGGTTCAGTAAAAATTATTTTTTCAACAAATTTAGAATTCTTTTTCAAAATCATCTCATTGACAAAAATAACTAGATAATATATTGATTTGCCGCGCGTAGGGTAGTTTTTTAAAATCAAAATACTCTAAGGTCTAATTTCTCGATTGATTTTAAAACAATATGTCACGACTAACCACGTTGACAGCATTATTCAATGCTAATCAGTTTTTTACAAGTCTAATCGTGACTTTGTGCCAACGCTGATTATCAATAAAGAGTGACGAACCTCGTCGGAGATGTGACGTCTCGGAGAAGAGACCTCTTTTCATATCACTATTGTGGTAAATGTTTCTGTCAATAGAAGCATAGGTGTAGTTTATATGGAGTTAGGGGCGCATATCCTCTCACTTTTTAATCAGTAGGAATAACCCCCACACAAGAGTACATGTCGTCACCAATAAATATACTTTTCATTATAGGGTAAATTACTTTTTAATTACACTAGGATCTAGTGGACACCAACGTTAGGTCTGTATTTAGACAATAATGTCTTAGATCCTGTCTTGAAACCCAAATAATGTCTTAGGTTTATTTTGTAGGTCTTGTCTTGAAACCCAAATAATGTTTTAGGTTTATTGTTCTAGGTCCTGTCTTGAAACCCAAATAATGTCTTAGGTTTATTGATCTAGGTCCTGTCTTGAAACCTCAATAAAGTCTTAGGTTTATTGTTGCAGGTCCTGTCTTGAAACCCAAATAATGTCTTAGGTTTATTGATATAGGTTCTGTCTTGAAACCCAAATGATGTCTTAAGTTTATTGTTGTATGTCTTGTCTTGAAGCCCAAATAATGTCTTAGGTTTATTTATGTAGGTCCTGTCTTGAAATCTCAATAAAGTCTTAGGTTTATTGTTGCAGATCCTGTCTTGAAACCCAAATAATGTCTTAGCTTTATTGATGTAGGTTCTGTCTTGAAACCCAAATAATGTCTCAGGTTTATTGTTGTATGTCTTGTCTTGAAACCCAAATAATGTTTTAGGTTTATTGTTCTAGGTCTTGACTTGAAACCCAAATAATGTCTTAAGTTTATCGTTGCAGGTCCTGTCTTGAAACCCAAATAATGTCTTAGGTTTATTGTTGTAAGTCCTATCTTGAAACCCAATTAATGTTTTAGGTTTATTGTTCTAGGTCTTGTCTTGAAACCCAAATAATGTCTTGGGTTTATTGTTGTAGATCCTGTCTTGAAACTCAAATAATGTCTTAAGTTTATTGTTGCAGGTCCTGTCTTGAAACCCAAATAATGTCTTAGGTTTATTGTTGTAAGTCCTATCTTGAAACCCAATTAATGTCTTAGGTTTATTGTTACAAGTCCTATCTTGAAAACCAATTAATATCTTAGGTTTATTGTTGTAGGTCCTGTCTTGAAACCCAAATAATGTATTAGGTTTATTGTTGCAGGTCCTGTCTTGAAACCCAAATAATGCGACCACCTCACTTCCGCATTTTGAAGTTCAACTTATGCCCATGAGTAGAAAAATACGTGACTAAGAACAAAGAGTAAGAAACAACTAGCGTACTCTAACGAGGTACATTTTAAAGTAGAAAACAGTTATATTTTATTCACCTTACATAACCTAAAAAATTAAATAAGACATCGTTTGTTTGATCTACTTTAACGTAGGTATTTATCATTCTGATACGGAACTATACAAATAAATGTATTTGCGTTATATAATTTTTTTAGAAAAGCGCACAATAATTAATATATGGCTAGTCTACGACTTTGAATTTCTGAATTGCTTCACTTTTTACCGCTAGGGGGAGATGAAATACCTCATCGAGTGGACAGTCCATCCTTAAAGTCCAAGAAACCTAGAAAAGCTCGGACAGCCTTCACGGACCATCAACTGAGGGTGAGTTCGTTCAATAATGTAAGAATATCAAAACTTCGATTAATTACGGAAACTTTAACACGCTTCGGTTTATTTTTTGTTTATTTATTTTGTTTGGAATTAAGCACAAATCTACACAATGGGCTATCTGTGCTCTGCCCACTACGTGTATCGAAACCCGGTTTCTAGCGTTGTGAGTCCGCAGACATACCGCTGTGCCACTGGGGGGGGGGGGAGGCGCTTCGGTTTATGAACAATGTAGACAACTACCTGATGTAGAACCTCAATAATATAGAGAATAAAATCACAGAACATAATTTGGCACATTTTAGTATGTGTTTTGAGGCGTATAATTGTTAAATTGCAGTTCACTGACTTAATCTAGTTCACACCGACTTAATTTTTGTTCAACCATCTGAGTATATAAATATTCTTAGACCACTATTATGTCTGTTGTATCCCAACTGACCTGATGAGACCTGGTATTGGGCGAAAGGCATCATCGGCACTCGATGTACCAGATAGATTGTGGTTAACATATTCTTACATTGTCCCTTTCTTTCACTTATAAGTTCTTATAATTACACTAGAAACTAGAAAGTCAGTTATAATTAAATTAAAACAACAAGGTCGCTGCTGGCGGTGTTTATATATTCTTTCCTATTCACCAAAATTTTAATTTCAAAATAACCTCAGTGGCAGAGTTTTTCATTTTCAAACTTTTCATGTAATGTCTCGAGTTTGTTGTACACGTTTTTTTTTTATTTCTATTTATTTATTTTTTTTGTATGAGCTGCCCTACCGATGTCCCCTGGCGGGACAGCGGTATGTCTTCGGATTTACAATTCTAAGATCAGGGGTTCGATTCCCCTCGGTGGACACAGAAGATAGCCCATTGTGGCTTTGCAATAGCAAAACACACACACACATTCCTACTGGGAATTATTTAAGTTAGAATTGGAGTTTTCAAACTGAGGAATAGCTTATGACCACGTAGACTAAACGACCAAGACAGAGTCCTCTGAGGTTCAGATCTAGTCGTTCCTAATTTTGAATTAGTGACCAAACGGCAATACACACCGTCACAACAGTTTTATCGTGCTCGTTTTACCTAACGAAGGATTAACTGTTACACTTACAATACGTCCGGGCTTGTACATTCTGAGGTTCGCGGGTTCTAATCCCCACTGACCCCCCCACCAAACATGCTCACCCTTTCAATCCCACTGTTCGTTGGTAAAAGAGTAGCCTAAGAGTTGGAAGTGGGTGGTGTTTGACTAGCTGCCTTCCCTTCTAGTCTAGGGACGGCTAGCCCAGATAGTCTTCGTGTAGCTTTGCGCGAAATTCAACGCAAACCAAACAAAGCGTCCGCAGATGAAAATGCGAAGTTTGGCAACCCAACCCGCTAACTATTAGGTCACGTCCAGTCCTATTTATATTAATTGTATATATATATATGTTCCTTTATATGAGTTTCAGGGGACCTGTGAGTTAAATGCCCTTTGATTGATGTATATTATCAGGGGAATGCCCCTGCTCTTTCACATAAACTTCCCAAGTGCATAATACTGAAAGTACAAGCAGTTTAATATATATATATATATATACAAAATTTCAAATATTTTTGTTCATCCAAATTAATGATGAATTTTTATAGCTACCTGGTGGGAATGTAATCAACAATATAATGCAATAAAATAGGTATTTATAAATATGTCGTTAACCTCTAATTCGTGACTTTTATTTCTGGCGACCCCTGGTGAACCCCCAGGGGCACATCGGTATATCTACAGATGTACAACGCTAGAAACCGGGTTTCGATACCCGTTGTGGACAGAGCACAAATAGCCCATTCTGTAGGTTTGTGCTCACTTACAAACAAACGATCCTTTGTGATATTCTTAATAGCTATGATTTGTTTCAAACTGTTTTGAGTTATCCTGTTGGTAAAACACTACCTTAAACCAGGGAAGAAAATAAAATACAGGTTCTTTATATTATAATTTAGCACTGCTAGCGCCTTGTAATGGTCTACAAATACCTTAAGGATATTAATACTGAACAAAATGCACGCATACTATTCAAAATGAGTGACTTTAGTGGTTTTCAAAATATTATTATTTACATGCTGGCCGCGATCCTCAAAACACTTGCGGTAGTTTCATGCCTTTCGCTTGAATTTTCCTTATTCTATCATTTTCACGTACGCAATTTAAGCTACGCTTTTTTACAGGCATTACGTGTTAGATCGATAAATCCTGGTCTATTCGAAAAAAATAATTACGCAGTCAGACAAACGAACTCACGTAGACGTAACTTTATTTAATAAAACTACACGTAAAATAAACAATATATTAAACTAATGGTACTTATAATAGTGTGCAGAATATGAAACGATTATAAATGTTCAGTGTATAACACGGTTTTTCGAGTGGAAATAAAGAAACTTACAAAAACGAAGAATATAACTCGTAGTAAAGGAAGAAGTAGCTAAAAGGTGTTTATAGCAGTCTACACCGAAGCTAAACTATTGCTAAGTAAAGTAAATGTAAAGAAGGTAAACTTAGCTAAATATGCAGTAACGTCTAAATGTGTGGGTTCACAAAGTGATAAGCATATGGCTTTGGACGAACTGCGTATGCTTATTTTAGACCTAAATAAGTCGAGAAAGCCCATAGAAATTGTGTTTAGTGTAATGTTAATTTTTTTAGGAAATTACATGCGGGTTAAATGTTGCTTGTGTGAAATACTTTTCAAATAAAAAAAAACTAAAGTTGATGTCATAGCCAGTCGTCACGTGATGGCAACGACATTATACCATGGTGTACCATACTCGTTGCATTGAAAAGTTAGGTTAAGCAAAAGACAGGTAAGGTAATTCTGAATTGAAAAGCCAATATGCAATCCGAAATCTTCAGACAAAGGCCTTTCTAACAATATGAGATTTCTAGCGTTTGATCGAGAAATTTGCGAGAGAAGTCCGAATAGACAAACGCGAGTGTATTATTTACATAGAAAATTACTTCTGTTATGAGCGCCCTCTAATGAAGCTATACTTTTATCTTTAGAGGTACAGAATAAACTAATCGAGAATTTTTATATATTACTATTTTGCAGCGCCCTCTGTCAATACATCACTGACATCCGTCTGCGTTCTGGAGCATAATAGTTATCCTGTTGGTAAAACACTACCTTAAACCAGGGAAGAAAATAAAATACAGGTTCTTTATATTATAATTTAGCACTGCTAGCGCCTTGTAATGGTCTACAAATACCTTAAGGATATTAATACTGAACAAAATAATACTTTTAAGATGTTACACGAGTTTAGTGTCAAACGTAAACAAAGAAGAATGGAGGATATGGTTTAGATTATAACATTAGAAATAACGAAAAAGGTGGTTACGATGATGAATTTTATTAGTTACTCTCATTCCTACAATTTTGGATCTCAGCTGGATGATCTAGTGATCAACTTAACCTTGCTCCACAGTGGCATTAACCTGCTTCATTTGCTTTAATCGTCCTACTACGTGACAGTAACCCGCTTCATTTGTCCTACTACGTGATAATAACCTGCTTTAATCGCCCGATCATGTGACAATAACCTGCTTCATTCGCCCGACCACGTGACTATAACCTGTTTCATTTGTCCTACTACGTGACAACAACCTATTTCATTCGTCCAACCACGTGTCTATAAACTACTTCATTCGACCTACCACATTACATAACTCCTTCATTTCTTCTACCACGTGATGATCTGCTTCATTTTTCCTACCACTTGACAATAACCTGATTTTTTTTTCATTCGACCACGTGACGACCTACTCCATTTCCCTATCACCAGTGATAATATTTCTCTCTATTCCTAACTTTACTATTAAAATCAATTAAATAATTAAACAGAAACTAAGAGCATTTAAACCAATTTTATACCGGAATATAAAGTCTTTTTTTTTTCCTTCTAGACTTTAGAAAAAAGCTTTGAACGACAGAAATACCTGAGTGTTCAAGAACGTATGGAGCTAGCTTCAAAGTTAAACCTAACCGACACACAAGTCAAGACTTGGTACCAGAACAGAAGGTGGGTAACGATGGTGTTGATTGTATTTTTGACAGTCTGTTATTACTACAGAAGGTGGGTAATGATTGTATTGTTTTCAGTCTGTTATTACTACAGAACAGAAGGTGGATGATGATGGTGTTGATTGTATTGTTATCAGTTTGTTATTACCACAGAACAGAAGGTGGGTAATGATGGTGTTGATTGTATTGTTATCAGTCTGTTATTACTATAGAACAGAAGGTGGATGATGATGGTGTTGATTGTATTGTTATCAGTCTGTTATTACTACAGAACAGAAGGTGGATGATGATGATATTCATTGTATTGTAGTCAGTCTGTTATTACTACAGAACAGAAGGTGGATGATGATGATGTTCATTGTATTGTCGTCAGTCTGTTATTACTACAGAACAGAAGGTGGATGATGATGATGTTGATTGTATTGTCGTCAGTCTGTTATTACTACAGAACAGAAAGTGGGTAATGATGGTGTTGATTGTATTGTTGTCAGTCTGTTATTACTACAGAACAGAAGGTGGGTAATGATGGTGTTGATTGTATTGTTCTTTAGGTGTTATTTTTAGAGAGCATAAGTTGAGTAATGTATTTTTTTTTGTGCGCGCTAGGACGGAATAACCCGACAGATCAGAGTTCATAGTTGTATTTTTTTTTGTCTTACCGTTTATATAGATATCCACCAAAAAAATTATGTCCTAGATTAGAATATGGTTATTGGTTATTTTATTTATTTTATCAGCTACAAGGAATTAACGATGAAGAATCGGGTAGCTATGAGTCAAGGTTTTTACGATGTTGAATGGTTTCTCGCGTGTCCGACTTCTCGGTTTTTCTGATAAAATTGATGTATGTGTTTATAGAAAGGAAGGTCGTACAGGCTGATGAAGTTAGCTGAAGAAAACGTGGACGTGGTAATGACTATTAAAACGTTTTATATCGATGATTTCTTAAGTACTTCACAAAATATATTTAAATAAGTAAGTCTTTGTCACTTGCCGTTTGATTGGTTCCGTTGCAATCAGTAGACAAGTGTGATGTTTTTGTGTGAATATATATTTATTTCTATTATTAAAGGAATTAGTTACTTCCATATCAAGAATGGGCAAATAAGGGTCTACTAAAACGTGCTAATAACACGAAAGAAGTATAATAATGAAATTTAAGTATGAAGAAAAACATCTGGAACGTCAGACTTTGGTGTCACTAGAGACATTTCCCAATTCCCTAACTCGTACATGGTCTAGTTGACATCACTTCCTTTGTCAGGTTTTATGTATGGGCCGGATTATTTACAGTAGGTGTTTGTGACTTGTTGGCGATAAATCTCAACAATAAACATACAGCCCACAATACACTTGTTTTAAAATAATATATTAAAACAAGTCAAACGTATATATACAAATATTCGTTACACTGTTGGTTATCACAGTTGTAGCTAGAGCTTTAAATAATTGTCTCTTTTTCATCAAGTCCACACAAGCTGGTTCAGTTACTTTATAACACAATTTGGTAAGACAAATTATTTCTTCTCTACTCTATTATTACAATACAATATGCGATCATTTCACTTTAGAAATCGCCACTATATGCTATTTATGGCTAAACTCACAATCACGCAATCTAGATGTATATATCTGTCTCGCGAACTAAATTTTCAACGCGTTTTTTTACTCCGACCGAGGTCTATAACGTTCCACACTACTGGATATTATGATGCAATAATACTTAATTAAAACAAAGAAAAACTCAGAAGGTTCTTGTAACATGACGCAATAATATAACTATTGAACTACACAACGTATGATTCGTAAACAGTTACGTAAACAAACTGCCATAAACTATCGCTTCTAAAAATAATTAAATTTAACACTCGCGCTATACAAACTATTTAAATCATATCTCTCCCATTAAACTTAAACTGAAACATTCGTGTATATCTAACTGATGACTTGACATGGGAACAACGGTCGGTGATGATGAAATAATAACATATACTAATTTTCTATTCTATTTTGGGGTTTTGTTCTATTATCCATTTTTTCTTTCTTTTCTATTAAACTTTGCGGGAAAAGCCCTTTTTTATTATTTTTATATTTTTGGCAGCTTTATTTAACATATTTGACATCAAGTTCCTGCACATCTGTGTACGCGCCATGATGTTTTTGTGTTTATAATAAGACAGAATTTTTCTTTATGTCATTTCAAGAGCACTAACGAAAGATTTTGATCTCATGACATTATGGGCGTGTCATCCACAGTGCAAAATGCCTTGGAATTTGTGTCTAGAGAAGTTAAGACGTTGACGCATATGTGTTTATGGACATTTGTAACAGACAATGAAACCTTTAAAAACAGTCCCACTTTGACTGGTCCTAATTATTTCACTATACTTTGCACTGTAGTCAAACGGCAAGAACTAACGAAGCAGACGAATAAATCTCTAGAAGGTTCCAGCGGTATCTGGTGTCTTTCTTCTTTAAAAAGTGTGGTAATTTGAAGCTGTCTCCATCTGTTAAAAAACAAAATACAAATGGTCAAAACTAGTCCTCTTTGATTAAGGTTAACTTTTACGCATGCTCATTTAACCTTCTCGTGCCTCAACGTAACTACGGTCAGCACTTAGAATTTACATTCGTTACTTGCTCGTGTAATAGTAGTATGCAAAATGATTTTGTAAATAGTTGGATAGATATTTAGTAAGTACCAAATAAAATAGTTCTATAACTTAAGATTTGTCTCCAGATTTAGAAAGTAGGGCGTTACATTTATCATAAACACAAGAAAATAAAGTTTGAACCCTTCCAGTAGATTTATGGTATTTCTGTTGTTTTGTTTCGACTGTGCGGGACAAATACATTATGTGAATAAACGCTAAAACAATACTGGATGATTTTAACCAACCACCAAGTTTCTCTCTGCAATTAACTAATGATGTAGGTTTTTTTTTTAATTACACGAACTAGTCCAGAAATATATATACAGGTCCCCCTTGCAATTTGTAATATTTAACATGAAGGTGCAATATTGGGTTAAAATCATCCAACACATTTTTTTTCTCTTTTAAACCATAAGTGAGGAGAGATTCAGCTTTAATATCGTATGTAAGTCAAGGATTTATCATTCTTGATTGTAATGTTGTTTTCACTTTGAAAAAATCGTTTCTCACTGCCAAAACAAATCTACCCCTAGTTCAAAAATCGCCAATATTCTTTTGTTATCATTATAAGTACAAAAATAAACTACTAAATTCCGTTGTTTGTGAATAATGTATCAAAATGCCCCTCTGATCCATTTTGTTTTTTATTTAAATTTTTAAAACAAAGTTGTCATATGTTTATACGTCTAACTTTCTAAACGTTAACGTCCCAGTTGTTCTAGTATTCCTACATGTTTTATTATGTTGTTTTTTCATGTTTATGATACACTTAAAAAGTTATGAGCTGCAGAAAATGTTTAATTTCATTATAAGAGTGCTAAATTTATATTTCCCATAAAAATACGACATTAATCTGACATATTTTAGTTTCTGAATTCAGTTACAAGTAAAAATTGTACTTTTTACATTTTAGAACAAAGTGGAAAAGGCAGACGATGATGGGTCTAGAATTACTTCCGTCAGATGGCGCTGCATTTAGTAGGTTTCCTCAGCTGTGGAGTCCGACTCCTTCACTTCTGTGGCCATATAGCTACAGTAATTACCTATCCACTATATCTACTCTGTCTGGACTGACCAGTAGCAGCATGGCTTCTTCCGGTGGTCCCTCAACCCTGGGGCTATACCAAAGGCAGGCCCCCACTCTGAACAGTCGCCCTGTGTTACCTCGGGCTCTCTATCCTGGGGAGAATGCGTACGCCACGTTACAATAATTTTTCCAAAGACAAACTACACAGTTGTCGTAATTGAAATCGTTGTGGTCAGTTTCTTAGCGGAGCTTCTGTGATAAGAACAAGTACAAGGAAATACACATTCTAAAAGCCTTGTCATTTAAGCTTGTAAGGATTCAACCATTTTGTCGCAAGCTTAAGTATAAATATTTGACGTTGAAGTTTGAACTAAGAACAATGAAAGTCATATTTCATCCCTTTATTTATTATAGAATTGCAGTAAGAACTGCTGTTTGGAAACATGCTACGTTCAAATACGTATCTGTTTTTTCTTGTGAAGATTTTGGCATGTAAGGGATAGAAGTATGAAGTTATATAACTTTTTAAACTTAAAATCTATTATCAGATTTAGTTTATCCTTTGTAATTTGAACATCTTTCAAAATCCCAAGCTTTTTAACACTTGAAATGCCACAGAAGCCTGATTTATCTAATGTAATTACCTTTACATATATATATATATATATATTCCACATCAACAACTTAATGTTAATACTGATTTTCGAAGCTATAATTTTATGTTGATTTCGAGGAAGATGGGAATGATAGCTATCGTAATGAGAAGCAACTGTACAAATGTTTCTTTAAGAAATAATTTTCGTGTTCCTTACAAAGTAAACTAAAAATTATTTGCTCAGGTACAAATCACAGGAAGAGAAGAAATTAATTACTCAAAACGTATTGTTTGTTTTCTTAATGCAACAGTGGAAACGATTGCACGTGAATAAATGTAGCATGTTGTAAGTATTTCTAATGTGTCAAAATGTTATTGTTCCGATATTACACCCAAAATATATTATCGTTACAAGAAAACTAATTTAACTTATTTTGAGTTTTGATATTACACCCAAAATATATTATCGTTACAAGAAAACTAATTTAACTTATTTTGAGTTTTGATATTACACCCAAAATATATTATCGTTACAAGAAAACTAATTTAACTTATTTTGAGTTTTGATATTACACCCAAAATATATTATCATTACAAGAAAACTAAATTTAACTTATTTTGAGTTTTGATATTACACCCAAAATATATTATCATTACAAGAAAACTAAATTTAACTTATTTTGAGTTTTGATATTACACCCAAAATATATTATCGTTACAAGAAACCTTATTTCAGTAAATATTGTTTACATTGAAACAGGACATAGAAATCGTCAATTAAACATTTAAAAAAAATTAATTCCAAGTTATAACTCTTTAGATAAAACAAGTGATGAAACTGACTACAGACTGCTTCCCTTTAAATTTACCCGTTTCCCATGGCTCAGCGGTAAGTTTGAGAGCTTCTAAGGCTAAAAATATAGTTCGATTCCTACGGTAGGCACGGCTCAGACTTGTGTTTAACAACAAAACAAATCCTTCAGCCCTCCATCCTTTTAAATAGCTGATGAAAAAATGTCCATAAATCACTGCATGCCCTACTAACTTATATGCGTATATTTACAAATATAAATCGTACATCACAGAACACTTCATAAAATAGAATGGGGATGATAAAAATGAATATTGAATGAGGGAGGAGAGAAAAGACGTGACCAAAGAACACATCACTACTGATGGTGGTATAGGAAGATGGATGGATCATTCAGTTCGAAGGAATAGGAAGAAACAAATTAACAATGAATGAAATGTGTTAAAAAAAAGTAAGAACTCACTTATTATTCAAAATTTCAACCTTGTCTTACAAACAATGTTAAAGTTCACTTGTCTCAAAGAGGTTAAAGTTTATTTTTCTCAAAGTGCGAGAAATCGTTCACAGATGAAAATATACGGACTTTCTCGTAATTCTTTATCGTTTTCCATTTCCACACCACTTGAGAATGGTTTGTTTGCAGTTAAGCAGAAACTACACAATTGGCTATTTGTGCGGTGCCCACCACGGGTATCGAAACCCGATTTTTAGCGTTATAAGCCATCAGACTTACTGTTATGCCACTAAGGAGCTTCTAAGAATGCAAGTTGATGAAATTTTATATAATACAAAATTGTTAAATATATATTTCATAAAAGAGTTTGTAGAACTGCAACAAATCATGTTTGCTCAGGTGAAGTAAAACTATCAGATTTAACACTTTTTACAAATACATGTTTTTACACTGGACTTCCGTAACACTGTCAATTCATACTGAAAATATTGTTTAAAATACTGATTATCAGGTGCAAGTATATAAAGTACACTAGAAATTACATAAAATATATTAACAGTTATTCTTAGAAAATGAGTTTTAATTAACAAACTGCCATCACAATAAGGACTGGTTATCTAAGATGGATTTTTTTAAGATTCTAAATATTTTAGGCTTTAAGTTTATAAAACTAGCTTTCAAAGATTGTAACTTTTAAATATATTTTTTTTAAATGCCTAAACCAGTTGGCAAGTGTCTTGTTTGCCCTGATAAAGCAATAATGGTGAAACGTTGGCTTAAATAAAACCAATTACGTTTTCTGAAGTAAGATGTATTTTATTTCTCCTTTTAATAACAAAAATTCTGTCCTCACGAATTACTAAAACAAGAAACCTTTCAAAGTTAAATCGTATTCATGTAACATTTTAGAGATAGTTCACACGTTATCTGAATTAAAAGTGTTTCCTATGGTTTAATTAACTGTGATGTAAAATATACAGGCATAATATATATATACAACCACACAGAAGATCTAAGATAAGGTCTATGAAAGAAAAAACAACATTAGATACGATCATTAGCGCCCACTTATATATTTTCGGGAGGGGGGGCAAAACATGTACCTAGGGGATCAACTTTTACAAGTGAACAAACTAAAAAAATATGTGTGCTTAAACGCAAACACAAATTTACAGTTTCAATAAAAATTACAAAAAATATTTAGTTTAAGTGCAATGTTAAGCTTACGTCATAATACGTGCAATTGTTTGTGAAATGTAGGGGACAAATGCGGATATCCATGAATACGATGTTAATAAAATCTAGATAAACTTTAAGTTGACACAACGTTTCGGGCCAAAAAGGTTTAGGCCCGAAACGTTATGTCAAGTTAAAGTTTTCCTAGATTTTATTAACATCGTATCTAGTGTTGTTGTAAAATGTTTTACTTCAAATTGTTAAAAACTGAGTCCTTCTTATTCAGGTACAAACAATAACTTACAAATATGATAAAAGGCTGATTCTTAACATAAACAATGATATGTTCATTAATGTAGATAATTTGTAGATACATCTTAATGCAATTTGTTTGACTTTTTCAGCAACTTGTATGAGAGCTAATAGGATACAGTAAGCTCATACTCAATGTAAAAATTATACATTATATGAAACAGAAAATATAACTGCTTTAATACAATAATATAGAAAAATACATTTTTTTCTGATTTTTAATCACAACTGGTAAGTTTGGAACTCTTATCAATGGGAAAAAAAAACTTACGTTTGTAAAGTGATTTTTTATTTGTTTGTTTAAGATTTCTAGAGCAAAGCTACACAAAGGTAGTTTGCGGACACTCGTTTCTACATTTGAACTGATATAGAAACGAAAAGATGGCTAGTCAACATAACCTACCACTAAGTCTTGGGGTGCTCTTGTCTGACCGAATAGTGAGAGTTGACCATTGGCTAGTCAAGAGCACCTACCACTAAGTCTTGGGGTGCTCTTGTCTGACCGAAGAGTAAGAGTTGACCATTGGGTAATCAAGAGCACCTACCACTAAGTCTTGGGGTGCTCTTGTCTGACCGAATAGTAATAGTTGACCATCATTCTTGTAGCTCACCTATTACCCCAAAAAGAGGAGCATATTTTTGTGGAACCAGACAGCGAATTGCGAATCCTCGGATTCACAGGCCGAGCACGTTAATTACTAGGCCACACCCAGCTCCTAGGGTGACACCAAAGTGTTTTATTTGTAACTTTGATGACTCAATATAAGTTAATCAAATTTAAAATTTTCAAACAAATTTGGACAAAAGGAAATGTTCAAATCAACCCATTTCCACAAAGCTGTCACAAATTCCCCAAATGGGTGTTGACTTAGCAAAAGTTTTAAAAATTGTGTTTCAACAAACTTATTTTAAATAAAGTAAATGTGTTTCTAGTTTCACGACCGATACAAAGCTCTTTTTGAATAACATTTAATCTATTTACCGTTGTGTGCATCAACATCTACTAGATTCATTCTGTACATTTTAATTTTTAAAAAATGATCATCTTTGTTTTAAATTCGTTCACAGATCACCCATCAAAATCAAATATATCTAAGCTATCGTGAGTTTTTTTGTAAATGAGATAAATACAAAATTTGGAGCTTTGTGTGCTTTATTGTTTACGTTTTATCAGATTCATCGTAACCTACACATAACGATAAAATCTCTAAATCAAATAAGAAAATGTATTGCTTGCTTTGCTTTGAAAGAAAAATCCATAATGTAGCGTTCCAAATGCACATCGGTTTTATAAATATGAAAAATTATATACAAAAAACAAAAACATTTATTTAATGTATATAGTTCCTAATAGATGGCGACGTAGTAATAGAATAAGTTCAATAAATAATTTTTTTTAATCACAGTATTTTGGCACTTGTGTATAAAGTTAAAATCATAAATAATATTCGAAACATGTAGAGTCCTCAACTTTTTGAAAGCCATAGATAGGTCTAAATAAAATGTTTTTAATTTTGCACCAGCTTAACGTTGAAAATTATTTATGATTTTAAACAATTTTTTATTTCGATTTCCTAATAACAGATGAAGTTAAACAGTAAGGATATGTATTAAATAATTGTAATAAAATAAAATAAAATCTATTATGCGGTTAAGCTGCAGTACATAGGTTGTGTATAAATTACAAAATGTATTGAAACGTCACAAATAGAAAAATAATTATTACGTAACTGAAACAGATAGCAAAATATTTTTTTTTCTTCTAGTAATGAGGTTTTTTTTTTTAGGTGTCAAACGCTTATATTAACGCTTATATTTTACCGGGAACAACACTTCTCCACTTGATGTAATAAACTAAAAACTATAGTAAAATAGATATAAACATTTTTATTTTGTCGGGATAGTTTTATAGTGAATTATTTAAAAAACAAATCAAGAATGAATAAGTTTATCCATCAATATTTTTATCTTCTGGAGAGAGACATGATAGATGCTTCTTGATAGCATTTTTATGTCAAAATCTGTGGAAATAAGGTTTGTATTTTTTTGAATCTCGTTTTCGAAAGGTATGGTCTTCTGTACAAGAAATCAAGAAGTATTGAAAAGAAAAAATATGTCTGCGGACTTA